CTATAGATAAGTTCATAACTCACCATTGAACATTATCAAATAAACAAGACTCTATTAGCTGCGCGCGATATGAACATATGAGAGATCCCTATGAAAAATTCGGTATGAGTCTCTTCATGAAATACAATGTAATGCGCTTCCTTGCAACGGCCTAAGTTTTATACCAACGTGCTAGCACATGAATACACTTATACACAGATGGACGGACATTCACAGGGAAAATAATTTCAATAATTCGTAAGAGAATTAATTTCCTTACATTATGATACATGTATTATAATTCTTATAATAAATATATCATTACATTAAATCGGTATGTGAGTAAACTTCCAAAAACATTGTGTACATTATCATAATATAAACATTTTATACATAATAATTATATAATATTTGCGAATCTGCACTATAAGTGTGAAACATATCTTTTATTTCTGTAACAGTGTGTCAGGGTCAAGGATTTATACACTATTATCATGTATCAGATAGTTTTCAAAAGAAAATTTGTTATAGTGTATATAATCAGAATGACAAAGGTTTCGTCGATATGAATTTGAATATGTATTCAATTATACCTATAATATTTATATGCAAACCATACTTATTATATGCAAATGTTTCATACAACATCTTATTTCACTAAACGTCTTATTAACATAGTGAATAATTATGTTTTGTCTCAACACTTCATCGAGAATCTTTTTATAGTTTTAAAATTAAGTACAATGTACTGCAATATTCAGCTAAAGTGCATATACTTACATGGTGCTATTGTAGCTTTAGAAGGAATGCGTAATTCATTATCAAGTGTTAACAATACTTTTTCGATAACATTCTCTTTGGTGCTTGATTATTCAATTATTTTAAAGTAAAAATAAACATTTGAAATGGAAGCCTCACAATGTTTGGTTGTAACTAGTTAATCCATAAAATATGATTAACTAGACATGACCATTCAATGCAGTCACAATTATCTCAAGACTAACAGTAGGAAAGAGATCTTTACCTTTACAACCATTTCCATATCCACCACTGTAATAATTATCTTCGCAATCCGTACATTTAATACTGTCAGGATATCCTCCACAACTCTTCTTTCCAGATTTACAATGGGCTATATCAATGTGTCTACAACCTAAATTAATAAATAAGGGTATGTATCATTTTTTGTTTCGAAATCAAAAAAAGGGTGGGCATATCAGTCTTGTCTTATTTCCATTCGCTTTATTGGAATATGCTAGTTAAAACAGAATTTAACAAATTATGAATTAATGTTATATACATCAAGTAAAATTATTGATCAAATATAGAAAGATGGAAAAAAAAGATTGGTGATCCCTCGGAAGTATTAATTACAACAAAATAACATAAAAATTGCAGGAAATCGCATTAAGATCTCACATTTTAGACAATACAGCAGTTCCTAAATTTAACCATGTGCATTTGTTTTAATAAGACGCAATTAATATATAAATATACTTTCTTATGAATATTAAATGTAAAGGCTTGGAAGGTTTTTTTTTTTATCTTATCTTCAAAATAGAATTTAAAAGGTCTTTCTCTTGTTCATACTGTCACAACAACTCCCAGATCTCCACGACGAACAATGACATCGTCCAGAATAAAACCTTCCGCCGTTGTGGCAATGCTGGTTACAGTCCTCCTCAAAATATTTTCTCTCTCTCCAAAAACATGATTTACAAGTTCGACCCCGCCTTCCTCCTCCACATGACATGTCACAGTCACCCCATTCGGGACAGTGTGGGTATGTGTTTAGTCTACATCCCATCTCTGATTGACAAAGGAAATGGGAGAAAGTGTGTTTATTGACAATTTCAACTCACCATAATTCCATGAATGACAATTTAAAAATCTATTTGTAAAAAATATGATTAAATTATATAGATCACTTGTAATCGTGTTACACAGTTCATATTATGAAAGATACGACAACAACCTAGGATGGAAGCACGTGACTTTGTGTATTCAAACCGAATAATCCTTAAAATATTCATAATTAAGTCCGTTTTCCACAAACATTTCCGGAATCTAAACTAAATTGAGTCACTTATAGTTTCTATATATAAGTTTTGATATATCATAATTTTGTACCGTAATGAATTAAAATTAACTTTTGAAAACACAACACCAAGCATAATATTGCCAAATATTCTCCTATAAGTATATTCCAAATTTTGTAAAATAATGTGTTGCTTATTTCAGATGTTAACTTGATGGTTAGTAAAAAAAGAATTCTGGGCAAAATAATTAAAAAAAGTTCGCACATGGTTTCAAATGCAATCAAAATTACTATGATTTTTCAATACTTGATCTATCTAAATTTTTTCATTTTTTAAACGACATTGTCGGTCGTTATTATGGGCATGTAATGGCAATAACATTCTATTGTGATACATACATGTATACTAACACGCTTAAATTAGTCCCCTATAGGGCAGTTATGGCAATGAAATGCATTATTATACGATTTATGCACAGCTTAATAGGGTATGTAAGTCTCGTCATGTGACTTGCGAGATTTCACGATATTTTGCACTTCCGGGTACAAACAAATATCAACAACATTGCTTATCTATATTGGGTAATACTTGTATGCCGGTGGGAAAGTAAAACTTACATGGAAAAGCAAATGATATGTGGAAATTGGCAGAGTTTTTTGTTTTGTAACGAAATGCAAATGGTTTCATCTTGTGAACAAGTATCAATGAAAGACAACTTCGTATAATCTTCAGGTGGGTGTGTCATTTCAAATTCAGTTTATCCCAATAAATGTTGTAATATTTTCATTTCCATGTAAATCTAATAAATTTGTTTTTTGATACAACATCATTCGCATCTGACACCAGACTGGTGAATTTGATTTTATCAATTTTCTATAGCGCTACCTGATTATCTCTCAGAAGTATATAATGTTTAGAAATTTCGGACAGCGCATATTTCGGATAAAAGTTTCAATATGATTATCAGTGTGTTTTAGTTGAATATATTTTCTTCCAACTGAAAATATTATTTATTTATTATTATTATCTTTATAAAGCACAAACAGTCAAGCTGTATATAACCAATTTAAATTGTCATAAAATTCAATGAAATATTTTGCTCCTGTAGATATTTTGACTGAGGACAGTGGTGAGATGAAAGACGTCAGTATCCATTGTAAATACACATGCATGCTCTGCTGTTAAATCGTTTTGGTAAGAAATATATACTTAAAGCTACTTAAACTACATTAATGAAAAATAAATATTATTGTATAACATATAATGTTCTCGTTTTTGTAAATAATTACAGTGTAGCTAAATAAACAAACAGTATGGCATATGTAGTTAATTCATGTTAAATACGGTTTAAAGTATTTTTCTCAAGTAAGTGGGTCATATTTTTAGTTAAATCATGTTCAGTAAATGGTTAAAAGAACTTAGTCACTTTCACATTTTTTAAAGATCAGTTGTCAAAGCAAATCTACAAAAACTAGGACACCAAGAAGTGTTTCTTCCTTTTCAACATTATTTTCTATTCATGACAATATGATAATGATTGAAATTTATAGCTGACCAATTATTATTGCTTTCAACTCATGATTAATTTTCTTTATATACAGGTATGTGATTTCATGGTTGGATCTTGAGTACTTGTCATGGTTCTTGATTTATTTTGGAGTGTTCACCATCAGATTAGAAATCAAATAGTGATACCACCAGGCATAGTTGAAAGGAAATGTCCATACACAGTCTTGGAGTACATAGTGGTAGAGACATGGCAGTCCATTACAGATTTTGACTGAATTAAAGCTTCTTTAAGCTCAATGTCTTGTGTATACTGTCTGACTGAATGTTTGTATTCTAATAAAAACTAAGGTTGAAGACACTTCAAAGATATATGTCAGTGTAAAAATGTTAAACAAAATATCTGTCTTTGTTAGAAATAAATAACCTGTCTTTATAAGAAATAAATAACCTGTCATTTGTAACTTTGTATTAACTTAATTATTCAAAGATAATTTATCTTCTGCAAATGGCTGCCCAAAACAGTTTCAACCAGGCATCATGTAGTTTCAAAACAGTTAACAGGAATGGTAAAAAGATAAATGTTCAGCATTAAAATGTTTCTATCTTGATTGAGTTTCATTTCATATTATCACCATGATCACTGCAATTGTAAAAGTAATGTAATCTTTAACCATTATTTAAATATCATAAAAATCATCTCAAAGAAAAACTTGTTTCTGAGGCAAGATGTGTAAAATTCCTTCCAGTTATAGCCTTTCACTGCTCTTAGAAAAGCCATGATTTGCATTGTACATGGCAGGTAGTAACACCAGAGTAAACAATATTAATGCAATTCATCTGTGTTGAGTATTCTGTAGCAAAACACTAGCTTGCTAGCCCTTGTAAGCCCAAGTCTCTCTCTTAATTGGAGAAGACTTGCAATTCTGCATTCCTTGAAGATTTTAGTATCAGAGGGGTAGTTATAACATACCATATACTTCTTTGGGTTTCAAATTACCTGTTTTATATTGTATTGAACCTGTTGACATTTGACCAAAAGTGAATTATCTATACAATACATGCAAAACTTAGGGTTTGCACTTGATACAAAACAATTACATCACTGATACATTAATATACCAATTGGAACTGTTTCAAAATTGTCAATGTTTCAAAAAAAACAACAACAAAAAAAACAACACACAATGCTATTAACTTTTGTTCATGTACATATGTGTAAATGTAGTCATTGAAAAGATGTCAAGAACTTTTCATCAATATTATTTAGATAGTGTCTGTTTCGATTTCAGGACAGACAAAATTCAAATGACATGCATAGTATTTAATATAGTCAATGCTTGCATATTCAAGCAATCTAGCCATTGCTGTTAGAGAATTAAAGTACACAGTGACACTTATTTTGCAGATGAACTCTTATGATCAAACACTGCTATAGATATAATTATGCCAAATAGTAGAAACAAAAACAGTTCATAAGTTTAATAAACTTTTATTTTTACACAATTTATAGTGCACTGCTTAGCATATATATCACACTGATTTTCCAGTGGAAGAAAAACTTCAGGAAAGCACTTGGAATTATTATTAGTTATTTGGACAATGTAACTTTACACTGTGAATGCCTACTGATACAAGAATAAGAATATTTCCTTTTACAAATGTAAAGACTTTAAAAATTAACATGAACAAATTATCATAGAGTTATAAATCATATTCTAATTGAAAAATGTTCAGCTTGATATCAAAGCTTTGATTGCAAATTTGTGAGCTTATCAATGATTACCTCACAATATTAGTAGTAGATGATATATAATATTTTTACTAATCTTTACTTCATAGTCATTTAATGTCCATAATGTCACATGACTCTACTGTGATTCCATGAAAAAACCTTATCTCTGGTGTGTTATCAGCTTTGGTATATATAGAGTATCTAGTTTTAATACTTAAAACTGCAATGAAATGTGGATATTTTACTCTGTTTCTATCATTGTGACATTAACATGTTAACAAGATCATAGTGTCAAACACCATAAATCATACTCTTTATACATTAAGATTTTTGTGCTGGATGTCATTCATCTTCTTCAGGAAAGTACATTTGACTATTTTCAGTGGCTTATATTAAACTAATATTTCACTGTAACTGTGTGTTCTCTGATATCATTCTCAAATTAAGGAACTGGAAGATTGTAGTTGCAATAAAGGTCTTCATGGACAAATCCTCCTTCATCTTTTCCCTTTTTATCTGCAGAATGAAAAATCAATAAATATGTTGTTACAAGTGTAAGACACTAAAAATGATATTTACATTACATTTAATAAGCTAGTCATGATTGACAGAAAAATTTCATATATTTGAAGTAAATAAACATTAAAGATAAACAACAACACATAATATATAACAGTCAAAAATATTGATCTTCTTGAATGTGAAACATGACTATTCTTAATGTTTTATTTACTTATCAATTTTCATGCAGTGAAATCCAAAAGTTATTAAATTATAATAATATATTTTGATAATTGTTTATCTTTCCAATCTCAACTAAAAATTAATCAATTATTTTACATGTATTTACCTTTGATGTATAGATATTTCAGGATCACAGGCAGTGCAAACAGTTGATTAATGGTCCATATTGAACAACTGTATATTCTATACTTGTCATATACCTCTTTGTCTATACATCTGAAATGGTTTAATCAAATATTATAGTTTTTAATTCAATCATTATTTTCTAGGTACCATATTAACATGTATATATAATTGAAAAAGGAACAAGAATAAAATGGAAAGGAAAAAATATCCGAATTACTGTGCAATGTCCGAATTTTGTATTATTAATATACACTAGAATTAAAGTGTTTCTCCATTGTTTATTTCAATAAGTTATAATGGTTTGAATTAATTTCTCACATCAGTATTTTTAAAACAATACTAAAAGCTAAACAACTAGAATTCACTACCTTGACAAAACATCCGAAACAACTGTCACTATCCGAAAATAAACTAGTTTTATTAAACTCTATAAATCCCTCGTTTTTCCGTCAGATAATTGACCTACCTGCATTTTTTGACACGTGCTATCCATTCCTTCAAATCTGAAGAGGACCGAAACAAATTTAACTTCTATATCCCTCGAGTTCTTCGGGTTACCTATATGCGTAACGGTAAATAAGTCTGCCGATGTACCCGGAAGTGGTAAATCAAAAGTGAAAGTAAACGAGACTTACGGGCCCTATAAAGGAATGCTGACACGTCATATGACAAAAATGGTAGGTGTTATGACGTCAGATATGACGTGAATTAACCAAATGATGTCAGGAAAATCTACTTCTACCCTCCATGTAGTTCAGCATATTTTATCAATTCATTTTTATCACTGAATATGAAATAGTATTAAACTTTTTCTGCATAATAGTACTATAATTAACGGTTTATCGTTTAAATGCTTTGCTTATCGACTTTCGTACTTGTGTTTCTACGCATTTTAACTCAAACCTTGCATTTTTGCAATGTACAAACATAGTAGAGGTCATGAATTGATGGTCCTGTTTTACTGATGCAGGAAGAGCTCGGATGCCTCTTCGTGCAATATTCATGCACGAGCGTTGGGCACCTGAGTAGAACAACTTACAGTCATTCCGTAAGCTAGCCGGATAGTTCTTCACACGAAAGAAACCAAAATCTCTGTTATACGAGAGGTATTCAATCTATGCCGGGTCACCGTGGTGAGTCGGTATTTCGTAAGGATTTTATTGAGGAAACAATAGAAAACAATCTAAAACTGCAAATACATCCAAAAATTAAGTTTAGCTTTTAGCATTTCATATGATTCACCTGGTCGAGCTGGACTACAACATTTATTTGGCCAATAAAATTTAATCTTTCATAGCGGCTGAAAACCTTCAATTTTAACGCCATTTTCAAAAAGCGGCAAGTATTGCTTTAAGCGCAAAGATATTATGATGATATAAAATGTAAGTTCTCATGATGTCTTTTTAATTGATCATATCCACACCTATTTTCTTTATTTCAAATATAATAATTAGTTTATAGTTGGACTTCATGTCTGGTGGTTAAGTTTGGAAACTCTGAGGCAAAAACAAATTTAACCACCAAACATGAAGTCCAACAGTAAAATGATTATTATATTTTTCTTGACGTGTTAGAATGGAAATATATATTCATTATTTGTACATTAAGGTATTATAATGCAATTCTTTCGTTCAAATGCTTTGTAATTAATCACTCAGGCCTATCGGTCCTCGTGATTATATTACTACGCATTTGAACTAAAACCGTGCATTATTCTACAACAATGCACTAAGATTAGATATCTATTTCCTAAACAAACCATGCATATGGAAGTTTACATGATGTACTTGTCAGGGAAGCCAATACTGTTGGCCACCCCCATGGGGTATTTGATTTATATATGTTTGTATAGGAATTTTATTGTTTATTGTCGCTCATTCCAATTCTAAATATCCTATAACAATTATTATAAACTTCATATGTGGGAAACATTGATGAATTCAACCTACCACAATCATTTCAGGTCCAACGGCCAGGGTCACTGAAACCTGATATACCAAAAAATATCTACGGGTCATTAAGTAAAAATGCATATACATAGGGACTTTATTCTTTCCATGTGGATGCATCTCGATATATCTAATTGTAAGTGACGACTTCGGAACTAATTCTCCTTTTTATGAATGGAATATTCCTCTCTTTGTTAATTCTATTAGTATCAATGTTGTTGTTAAACTAAGATAGATGGCAATTCGAAAATTGACAATTGTAAACACACCTCATCATATATAAATGACAGCGAGTCGGTAGTAGCTTTTTCAAAAGCTTACGTTGTTATGAAACAGTTTAGTTTTAAATAAAAAATAGAGACGTTTTGTCGTAATAACCATTAACCCAAGTACAAATGCAAACTTATGTTCTCATTAATTCGAACGTTGGAAACGCGTTGTCGATCGTAACTACCACCCAATACAAAACATAACCTAATATGTGGTGAACATGTTTTCCTTGTTCCACAGTTAAGACGGAGATATAGACATGATCGAGTACGCCATTAAAAGAAATATGGATCTCACACAGCTTATGAGTTTTGCTTTTAGAATTTTTGCTATTATTCTGTTGACAGTGCCTAGTTGACAATTTTACGTACGACGTCAGCAATAGCAGTTGTGCGACGTTTGGTAAAGGAACCACTTTTACTAGTTTTGCTTATGTTATTTCGAATAGCACCTTTAACATGTTGAATGCGAAGATGCACAGAAGCAGCGGCAACATTATCTTCCATCTCTTTTACTTGTTTCATAATGTTTATGTAGGGTTATTTTTTGCTTCAAAAGTCCTCAAATAAACCCAACCCCTCAACTTAATCATTTATTTTTTGTCTAACCACATTGGAATTTCAATTCAAATGAGATGGGTATATGTATGATACACTACTTTACATGCATTTATCGCTTTTTAGGAGTTTAAATAAGCTATAGGATCTAATAACGTGCTATGATTGTATTTTGTGATAAGTTGAATGCCTCTCGTAGTTGGAACCTACAACAGTGAAGGGCAAGCAAGTGGTTTGGGTTTGAATCCCAACACGATTTGAGATGGATGTCTACGAAAACATCGGTGACCCTTCAAATAATAGACTAATTTTTGAGTTGGTAGTGAAGAAAGCCCAATTATATTCATTTTGTAACAATATAAAATGTCTCGGTTGTTTTTTTTAAACCATTAGACGTACGAGATTTCACTTAGTACCGATATTTGACGGAATCTTCCGCATATATGATATGCAAAGTCTAGTTTGTATTCCTAAAATGTTATTCGCAGAAATGTAACAAGTTATGGACTTTATTTGTTAACTACACAAAGGCACCTTGTTCACATCGTGACAACCGTTAAATATAAAAGTCAAAACAGTTTAACGATATACTTAAGATATAATTATAATATAAGATTCAAAATGAAGAAAGAAGAACACAAACTTAATATGGCTTGTGTTGAAACAAAAGGAGTTGGATACTATTATTTACCCCTACAATACAGGCTTAATTTAATTGCTTTTACTTACCTACATCCTCGAAATGCGCAAACCACACCAATATCTGTAAGACTTGTAGTAGCATTCTAGTTAAAAGTAAGTTTGAACATTATTTCAAATTTATACGATCATATTGTATAATGATGAGTAACAACTAGGAACGTAATCATTTTGTGTTAAATGAAAAGATGCTAATATACATAATAATATCTTTAGCAGGAATTCTACAATTCTTAAAAGAAATAACTCAAATACGACTTCATTTTACATACATCATACGAAAAGAATCTTGAAATATCGTTTCCGCTTCCTAACACTAATGTGAGATACTTGGTAATTTTCAATAGATAGAACAAATTAATAATTTTAAGTTTTACAAAATTAATTTATTCTTATTGTGGACATTGTTTATATTAAATAATAACAAAAACGTGCATTGGCTAAAGCTCTGTTTTTGTTACTATAATGTAAAATCTATTATAATAACAATTAAAACATTTCAAAGAATACGCCAAAATAATACCCTGGCCCAATATTCAATAATAATTAATGACTCAAAAAATTAATTTTTATTCGTTGATTTTAATATCAATATAAATGTGATAAAAGTGGACTTTAAATAGCATATTTATCAACTTGTAGAATACATTTAGTATTTCTATACAAGACGATTTAACATGTCAACCTAAAACTGCCTTGGGTAGAATTTTATATTTGACAACAAATCAGTAGATGTTTGAATTAAAAAACATCCGCAGAACGATGTGTACAAAATAAGAAATACGTTTACCCTGAACGAGAAAACAGTGGGTGAAACAAAATGAAATTGAATGTTGGTAGGGTATCTCGGAATATTATGCTCGTGTTTTTACAAAGAAATTGTCAAAGACAAATGTAAAAACCTGGCACGTGTAGGAATACTGATACACAAAATTAGAATAGACAATCGAACTAGAAGGAATTTTAAGTACCACAAACACAACAATAATGTCGTGCCGATCCTCAAGAATCGGAAATATAACATCTCTCAGACTAATTATACGGGGCCTGCACTCGGTACAACACTGATGCGACGATAAAATACAGAGAAAGAAACGTCTCAAACTGCAAAATCGAAAATTTATTTTGGCCTGTTTATGAACGGTGATTGGACGCGTTATTTACAATTAAGCTTACAAGTACATTTATATTCCCATTAAGTTTTGTAAAGAATGATATTTTAATAAAGTGTACATCTGATTGAAAAACTTGTGTACGTGCATTTAATTATTTGTGAAAGTCTATAATCAAAGTAATCATAAATATGTAGATCAAAAGTAATGAAAAATTGTAGATTAAATAATGTACGATAACTTACAATATAAGTTAATCTTTGTCTAATCTAACATTTTTGTTGTGCACAAGTACAAAGCATTCATTTTATTCGAAGAATGTGGATTAGAATTATATAATTTCAATTTAAAAAGTATCATTTTAAGTATCATTTAATTAACGTAATATTTAAAAATCAATTCTTATCATTAAGTTACATTTAACCTCAAGTGTGTATTAATTATCGAAAGCAAACATTTAATATGCGAACTTTAAATTAAATATTTATTAAAATTTTAAAAAAATTTTTCCTTCTCTCATAAAAAAATCACATCATCTTTCACAGTTTTTAATTCCCCGTAGTAAACACCCGCATCGGAATAAAAGAAATGAATTTATATTGATTGAAAAACAAATTGTTATTTTCTGTTGGGAACCCCGAATATCAATATTTAAACACCAGATGTTATCAAGAGCTTTCATCGAGTTCAATTGTTACCCTTTGCATTGGCTAAGAGTGTATTAAGTGATATGTCCTGAATCAATATACTACGTTTTATATCTGCAAACTGAACAAAACTTAAGTTAATGCTGGTTGTGACACTTTCATTTCCCCTTATGAAAAGTTTCACTTTTTTATTTTGTTGTCCCTTCATTATAAAACAATATCTGGGAATTGAAAAAAAACAAAAAAACCTTTACATGTATAAACTTGACCAAATCTTCCCAATTCTGTCATTTAGTGGTTTGGATCTAAAGGATTGCTAAATAAAATGTATAAGATACAAATGCTTATCCACGTACTAAATACAGAGTTACTTCTGAAAACCGAACACCTGTGGGACTAGCCAAA